AAATACGGTGACAACAATTCAGCCACTATCGGTGAAGTGGTGAAGACGCGCCGTGTGAACCGCCCGCGCCGGCGCATCGCCGATGCCGCCACGTGGGCCGTGATTTATACCCGCGGGCTAATTGACCGAGGCGCCTTTACACCCTACGATAAACACGATCGGAAAATGGTACAATTTCTCATTACAGAATTTTATTAATGAAATAAAAATTGATGTAAGTTTCAGTGAGCCAAAAGATACATTAATCTACTTATTAATAATGGAAAATAGTAAAAATATAAGTTAGCTTCTAGCTATTTACTTTATCAACTAGGGTTGTTTTGGAAATAAATTATTTTAAAGGTTTGATTTTGATATTTTTATGTAATTATCGCATGTTGTATCATCTATTTTAATAATGTTTAACAATCCGATTCTTATGCATACGCTTACGCCTTAACGTTACTTTTTATTAAAAAGAAATTGCTTTTGAACTTTATCTTGCCATTAAACTGACAGTATTTACAACTAACGCGAGATACTACTTATCTCTGCGTCAATTTACACTTCACGACTGGGGCACGACCTATTAATTTTGTATTAAATTATAACGACAGGGATGCGCCGATATCCGCGTGGGCGTGTGATTTATTTAACCTCGTTAATTGATTTTGCGCTTGTTTACTTCGTACCACGCAAACGCAATTATCGAGAAGAATTTCAAATAAAATATTCCAAGTAGTACACACCTACTAGGCATGTGGTGTTTAAGTTCCAGAACTAAACGATCGTTGACTATATCGCACCTTCGGTAGAACAAGGGCACAATTGCACTTTTTGCAATTTTACAGGAGAGCTATTAATTATTAGCTACACATTTTTAAAGTATTTCTGCATACTTAACTCATTTTTGCAATTTTTGACAATTGTGCCCTTGTTCTACCGAAGGTGCGATATTGTAAAATTTCTGTGAAACAAAATCAAAGTCCGAGTAAATTTTTTACTATTAAATCAATATATCAACTCTATCTGATTTGTTTTTGGACTATTAAGTCCAAACTATGCCTCTTCCTTTTATTTCAATTATCCTTTTCTTCGTCAATGTTAACGAAGATTCTAATAAACCACCAAAATTAAAGCATTATCTCCACTGAAGTGAAAACAACACCGATAAGGACACCTACGGACAGGGCTCAATGATTGTAACTTTGTAGCCCACAGCCGGTCAGTCAATGCAGTATTAATGTACTGTCACGACGGAATGTTAACTGTTGTATAGCCAGGAAAGATAAAGCAGACCATTTCTTACCTTTTCATAGCAGCATTCTTGGAAGTGCCTAGAATGCCCTATTTTTAATGCTTTTAACCATTGTAGCAAGGCTGTAACATCCTTGGACAACGCGTGGGTTAAGCAAAAAAAAGTTACAACTACTAACAAAGCCACGGTTGTGTTTTCATTTCATTTCATTTCATTTCATTTCAAAGTATTTTCAAAAACAAACGTGTAGAGCCAGTATCAGCTAACCATAAATAAACGAAAAATTCTGGTGTTTCTGTTCAAGTTGTATTCTGGACTAAAGTCTGACAAACGACCTAATGACATGACAGCGAACTAGTTGCATAACAGTGCGGTTTACTTGCAAATAATTGAAAACGATCTTTGTTACATTATGGGAGCTTGTAGCGGTAATATTTTACAATGAGCTTAATACTTGTTGAAGGAAACAATAACTTGTTAATTGTCACTATTCGACCTTTACTTACAGTTTTAGTTAGGTTACCGTATTACCACAAATTTACTAGTATTACTGTCAGTGAATGGCTGCTGACACCGCTTAGCAAACCACTAAAAGGTGTCAATTTCTATTTGGTACAATGCTAAACTAGATATTTGTTTCCAATAAACCTAAATAAATCCCAAAGACAGCATATTAGGCAACAGACAACAGAACTAAATTTGCAATTCAAATATGACGACATAATTTAGTTGTTATCTTGCGATTAACAAATCGGTCGCGCGGTGTAAAGACTCCTCGCTCGCATACCGCGTGTTTGTTCACACGTCACGTCGATTGCATTTTTGTTTATTTTGTTATTAGAGTGTTAATTGAGGGCTGCGTAGGGCTAGCGACGTGTTTCTGACTTAATTTTATGCATTTAATAACTGTTCAATTTATAATTCCAGCTCCTTAAGCGTTTTCTTATGGGAAAACGATTTCTTTGCTACAAAGTGTTGACAATTAACTTCATACGAGTATACCTAGGTGTTATCTTCAAGTTACTTACGCGGATTCAATAGCATGTACCTACGTAGTTATGGTTCATTTATGATGACATGGTGCATTATGCATCTATAAATGACCAATGAATAAGGAGTTACGTAGGTATATAATAGCATAAAACAATATTGGTTAATTAATATTGCTACATTAACATTGATCACGAAATCATGCAAAACTATACAGAGGTGAGCACAGTTTGATCTTAATACGGGAACTCGATTGAAGCTGAAGTGGCAGCCCTCAGCAGGTGGCGTTGTCCGCGTGTTTGTTTGCGTTGCCAGCAGATAGCAATAAATTAATTCGACCGTTGTAAACGGACACAAACCTTGTTTTTGTTACTCGACTACTTGTTAACTGACCCTTTGTGTTGATCTGACATAGCACGTTTGTTTATTTTTATTGGGACACTAAACTTGACGCGTTTTAAGTGCTCATTTTAAATTTCAAAGTAAGCTACTAAAATACCATGAACATAATCTATAAAACTTCTTTAATTTAGTAAAAATATTTATTTGGACAAAACTTTCATGCATTTATTATCCATTTTCTACTCTGGCATCATCGCTTCTCGGCCTTTTGGCTAAGATCAAAGTGTACCTACTCTGGCATCAAAGTTGCTTCAGTCGAAGGTAGAGCAAGACCTTACTGCATCTTTCTTGCGTTTGATACACGTTATGACTACGATAAGAACTGTCAAAACAAAAAGCTACTTACACAAATATCAAAGACTGTCACAGCGAGTAACTAGAAGCTAAAATGGTAAGAATAATGTGAATGTTCGGTACGTGAGCAGATTATTTGCATTTATTGCGACATGAAGCTGCATTATTGCTTTAAACGAACGCGTGCGCCGTTATAACGCCCAGTTTTATTACGGGACGTTTTGTCTTGTAGTCTTTTCGTGTCAAAAGTCATCCCATGGAAGAAGTAGAACCACGTTACGGTATTAATTCTAATCATCATTATCATCATCATCATGCTGCTGAACATAGTCCTCCCCCAATGCTTTCCACGTTACCCGGTTGGTAACCTTTATGATGTCGTCGGTCCACCTTGTGGGTGGACGTCTCACGCTGCGTTTTCCGGTACGCACCTTCCACTCCAGAACCTTGCTGCCCCATCAGCTGTCAGTTCTGCGTACTATGTGCCTTGCCAATTGCCACTTCAGCTTGCTAATTCGTCGGGCTATGTCAGCGACTTAATTAGAATGATTTAAAAAAAATAACAAAATATGTACTATACCCACTATATTCGTAAATATTGTGACGACCGTAGTAGCGCAGTCAAACGCCTCGAACGCAGTTTGGATTTCAATCGCATATTTATACACCTCCGTAAGTACCCAAAGCAAGTTTCACACCGGTCTGTGTATTTTCAGCCTAAAACGGGCAGACAAGATGAATTCCTTGAGGCACAGACAGGTTGGAGTAAATCAGTGCGAACAGGACCAGCGCGGGCCTATAACTCAATTAGGGCGTTCGACAACCGAGGGCTTACTCTGGAAAACAAAGTCGATGTAAACCATGATATAGGTACTATTCTTTCAGTCTCTGTCACTCATGCTAGCAGCGTGGAGGAAATGTCTGGAAACAGAAAAAGTTGTGTAGAGTGAGCCCTATCTTCAGATACCAGTGATTCTTTATGTAAAAATAATGACGTAAGATAAAAATTCATAAAACGCATTTTATTTTTGCAAATAGGCTTTTAAAAAGCACTTTTACACGTCTCAGTATTAACCCTACCACTGCTTCGGGACAATAAATGGGCCAGTGCTAAGAAGAAGCAGCGCAAGAAACTCAGTCAGATCAGATCCACACTCCAAACTATCAATTTTCTAGTTAGAAAAAATACAGACAAGTTGATAATTTCTAAAAACTTACTGTGTAGTGAAACAGAATACAATAATTTACCTCATCGCCCAAGATAAAACCACAATTGATTATGTCCCAAACAAGACTTAGCGCGAGTCTATAACTCAATTAGCGAGCGAAGCATATCAGCGCGATAGTGACACCGCTGCTTTATTATTATGCTTCGGTGCGCGCGCGCATTTTATGTACAGAGCTGATGCTCAGTCACAGGAACGAGATCAGTCGGACGTATCGGAAGAATGCTGGCCGGGAATGTGGATTGTGCACATTTAGAAAGATAAAGTTTAGTGGGTTATCTATTCGCCAATAATTTGTTTACAATCTCTATCACCAGTAACGTACCGTTTTTCCCTCATGATTCACCTAATTATAATAACTACATAATATAGTAATTGATTAGAATTTCACAGTAGCTTTATTAATAGTAAAACAAATTAAACTAATCTCAACTTAATCAAACATCATAAATAATAATGGTACCTAAATACAGCTATGCCTAAGTTCAAGATTGATGCTGAATGATTGTCACTAGCCCAGATCTTAATTACTACGCCTGAAAAATCGACTGAATGTTTTGAAAAGTGAAATTTTTCGCTCCCTCATTTACCTGCTATGCAAGAAGATAATTAATTTTAATAGAGAATTTAAGAGCGCTTTTACATTAGGGCGTTAGTAGCGCAACTGCAGCGCGGCAGCGGCGTTTTTATAATGTGAAGGCGTGCATACGCTGTTACATAGTATGAAATTTTCGGCAGCGCGTCTGTCGCGCGTTTGTCGCGCTGCTAAATCGCCTGAATGTGAAAGCGCTCTAATGACACAGTAGATAATAGCTCATATATATACTGTGCTAATAAAGTGATTGTTGCAGCGACGCGCGAGGCGGCGTTCACATACGCGATCACCGCGGCGGGCGTGACGCACGCGCTCAGCGAGTCCTGCGCGCGCGGCGACCTGCCCGCCTGCGCCTGCGCCGCCAACAGGTGACGATATCAACCTTATCATGATACACATAAAGCTCTTCGGACATGTTTTGAAACACCAATGGTCAAGGCGCTTTTCTAGCCCTAATGCTTCAACCACACCAACGCGTGCAGATCGCCATCGCGGGCGCGATCACGGCGCGATCATGGGAAATGACAGGTCGCGTGAACTGTCATGGGTCGCGCGACCTGTCATTGGCGTTTGATCGCGCCTGCTATGGCGATCTGCACGCGTTGGTGTGGTTGAAGCTTAAGAGTTCTCAAGCGGTCAACATGACCATTGTGCCAAAAAGCTTGCACAAGACAGGTGTTGGCTAAGGACACGGGGACTGGACAACTTAAGCTGGAGCTAATATAGTTCCGTTGACGAGAAAGAAGATGTAGTGAGTGTATCGATCGACAGAACTAAAACAATAGTAGAAGATTGCATTCCATTACATTCTGCAGACTTCTTTCCCACTGACCAACTGGACGGCTTTGGGGAAACGTTGCAACTAGTTGTGCCGTCCAGTTGGTCCGTGAGCAAAAAGTTGTATGGTGGATTTGCGCTCACTTGCCAACCTGATGATCACAAATGTGATAGTCCTCCTACCGCATCAGCGTCCAACAGTTAGCGCCACTGTCTTGCCCACTAGCAAGTGACAGGAAAGGTCCTTGAGTAAGGACTGAAGTGGCATCAACTTGTGTTTCTAAACATGGTAGCCCTCATGAGGAAAAAGAAGTAGTCTACTAGTTAGTCACGATCCCTATTGAAAGATAAGTACTGTTAATTGATGTTTATTGTCCATGGTGCATATCTTTTCATAAAGGTTACTACACCTTTGTTTGTCACCTGTCATCCACTTTGCAATGGAGGGAAGTCGAACCTTAACTTCGGACCCCTCCTATGTTCTTCTGATTAATTTCGTTGCGGGTCCAATGACAGTTGTTTAACTTTTCCACGGGACAGACTTAACTTCACTGCTTGGGTTTTTATTGGCGGTCAAGCTGTAGATCCTGGCTACACATGAGTTGTAGCGGTGGGAGCGAGAGGTGGGAATAGTCCCGTAATGAAAGATACTAGTTTAACGAAGGTGTTCTCCACAGGAGACGGTTCTCGGGCGCAGCTGAACAGTTCGAGTACGGCGGCTGCGGCGAGGCGTCGTTCAGCGCGCGGTTCGCGCGGCGCTTCCTCGACGCGCGCGAGCTCGAGGCCGACGCGCGCGCCGCCATGAACCTGCACAACAACCGCGTCGGCAGGAAGGTAGGCGAGGGCAGCACCACCACGCTCCCANACAAAGTCTATATAAACCATGATATAGGTAGGATTCTTTCAGTCTCTGTCACTCATTCTAGCAGGGTAGAGGAAATATCTTCAGTTAGGAGTGATTCTTTACGTATTTAAAAATAATAACGTAATGTAGATAAAAATTCATAAAACTCATTTTATTTTCGCACGTCCCAGTATTAACTCTACCACTGCTTCGGTAGAATAAAATGGGCCAGTGCTAATAAGAAGCAGCGCAAGAAACTCAGTCAGATTTACATCCACACTCCAAACTATAAATTTTATAGTTAGTAAAAATACAGACAAATTGACAATTTCCAAAAACATTTCTGTGTAGTGAAACAGAATATAATAATTTACCCCATCGTCCAAGATAAAGCCACAATTGATTATGTCCAAAACAAGACTTAGCGCGAGTCTATAACTCAATTAGCGAGCGAAGCATATCAGCGCGATAGCGACAGCGCTGCTTTATTATTGTGTTTCGGTGCGCGCGCGCATTTTATGTCCAGAGCTGATGCTCAGTCACAGGAACTAGACCTTATACTTAGTCGGACGTATCGGAAGAATGCTGGCTGGGAATGTGGATAGTGCATTAGAAAGATAAAGTTTAGTAGGTTATCCATTCGCCAATAATTTGTTTACAATCTCTATCACCAGTAACTTACGGGTTTTCCTCATGATTCACCTAATTACCTACATAATATACTAATTGATTTGAATTTTACAGTAGAACTATTATTAGGAATACAAAGTGAACTTTAAAAGCTTTGAAAATCAGACATCATCAACAAAAACAAGGATATAAAGCTACGCCTAAGTTCGATATCGATGCTGAATAATCACTCGCCCAGATCGTAATTTGTACGCCTGAAAATCGACTGAATGTTTTAAAAAACAAAATTTTTCAAGATCCCTCATATACCTGCTAAGCAACAAGACAATTAACTTTAATAGGGAAATTAAGAGCGCTTTCACATTAGGGGGTTAGTAGCGCAACTGCAGCGCGGCAGCGGCGTTTTTATAATGTGAAGGCCTGCATCCGCTGTCACATAGTATGAAATTATCGGCAGCGCGTCTGTCGCGCGTTTGTCGCGCTACCAGGCCTGTTCATCTCCGCGAGTTTACATCGAAAACAAAACACGCACGATGGCCCGCCTACAGGATACTATTCGACAAGGCCTCACATACGAGCGAACATTGACTCACGCACGCGTATTCTTGTGTATGATGGAAGAAAATAAAGGATATGGTGTACTAAATACTGTGCAGTATTTAACTGCCTAAATAATAATAAAAACACAGAATGTACTTTTTTAAGTTGCCTCAAGACACTGAAAGGTAAATAAGTAGTTAATATTATTCATGATAATTCATGCACCTAAATCTAAAATGAAATCATGTATTTCCTCCGCCATTTTCCGCAGTTTGGCACCTCACGTCACATCATTTTACCGAAGTCAGCCCTATAGCTTCGGCGCAGTGCCGATCACTGACGTTTGTCAACAAAATGGTGCTTGACTCTTGAGACAGGCTAAATTACACCATATTGTTAAAGACATTGAGCATACATTTTTTTAAATACCTTCGCGAAGTAAAACTTCTGTACGTAGTACTTATTATTATTCTGTGGCGCTACTAAATCGCCTAAATGTGAAAGCGCTCTAATGTTGTGATTGTTGCAGCGACGCGCGAGGCGGCGTTCACATACGCGATCACCGCGGCTGGCGTGACGCACGCGCTCAGCGAGGCGTGCGCGCGCGGCGACCTGCCCGCCTGCGCATGCGCCGCCAACAGGTGACAATATCAACCTTACCATGATACTCATAATCATAAAGCTCTTTGGACTTGTTTTGAAACACCAATGGTCAAGGCGTTTTTCTAGCCCTAATGCTTCAACCATACCAACGCGTGCAGATCGCCATCGCGGGCGCGATCACGGCGCGATCATAGGGAAATGACAGGTCGCGTGAACTGTCATGGGTCGCGCGACCTGTCATTGGCCTTTGATCGCGCCGGCGATGGCGATCTGCACGCGTTGGTGTGGTTGAAGCTTAAGAGTTCTCAAGCGTTTGAAGCGGTCAACGTGACCTTTGTGCCAAAACGCTTGCGCAAGAGCAGTATTGGCAAGGGATGGTCACGGGGTATGCACGATTCTGGCTGGAGCTAATAGTGTCGTTGACGAGAAAGAAGATGTAGTGAGTGTATTGACAGAACTAAAACAATAATAGAAGATTGCCCCCTACATTCTGGAGACTTCTTTCCCACTGAAGTGATGTCGTCTGACTGCCGTCCATTTTGTCAGAAGTTAATAAATGAGGGCTACAGTTAGCGCCCACTGGCAAGTGACAGGACCTTTCTCCACAGTGGTGCCAACCTCAAGATTGCAAATACAATAGCCCTCCTACCGTTTCAACGTCCAAAAGTCGGCGCTACTGTCTAGGCCACTAGCAAGTGACAGGACTTTACAGTTTTGCCAATAAGTGGTTCCAAATATGGTAGTCCTCATGAGGAAGAAGAAATAGTTGACTGGTTGTGACTAGTTGGTCACGATTCCTAATGAAAGAATTGGACAATGTGATGGCACTAGTTATAATGAAGGTTTTTTCCACAGGAGACGGTTCTCGGGCGCAGCCGAGCAGTTTGAATACGGAGGCTGCGGCGAGGCGTCGTTCGGCGCGCGGTTCGCGCGGCGCTTCCTCGACGCGCGCGAGCTCGAGGCCGACGCGCGCGCCGCCATGAACCTGCACAACAACCGCGTCGGCAGGAAGGTAGGCGAGGTCAGCGCCGCATGCTGCATGCTCCCACCACCACGCTCCCACCACCACGCTCCTTGCACCTGCACAACAACCGCGTCGGCAGGAAGGTAGGCGAGGTCAGCGCCGCATGCTGCATGCTCCCACCACCACGCTCCCAACACCACGCTCCCACCACCACGCTCCCTGCACCTGCATAGCAACCGCGTCGGCAGAAAGGTAGGCGAGGACAGCCCACGCTCCCACCACCACGCTCCCACCACCACGCTCCCACCACCACGCTCCCACCACCACGCTCCCACCACCACGCTCCCACCACCACGCTCCCACCACCACGCTCCCACCACCACGCTCCCACCACCACGCTCGCACCACCACGCTCCCACCACCACGCTCGCACCACCACGCTCCCACCACCACGCTCCTTGCACCTGCATAACAACCGCGTCGGCAGGAAGGTAGGCGAGGTCAGAGCAGCATGCTGCATGCTCACACCACACTATAATACCCACACCACAGATCACAGAAACTGAAGGGAGATGTGAAAAGGGGGCAGGGCCGGTGTCGCAGCAATATGCCCAAAAACAGAACACACTGCTCGCGACAGCAATGATGACAGCAGTGACGTTATATGTGTAAACAGTTTACATATCTTGCGTAGTACTAAAGATTATTCGAACGTTGAGTATGTGTGTGTGAATTTCTAATGCGACACTGGGTTTCGAACTCAGCGCATTAGTTGGCATATCTCTAGATCTATGAGCCACACCAATAGAAACTAGCCGTCTTTCCAGCAAATCATTGTCACGATCATCATCCTCGTCAGTATCATTCTCATCATCATCCTTTTCATTATTATCATCGTCATCCTTACCGTCACCATCATCATCATCAGAACGTCGAACTCCTCCTATGTTCCTCTGATTAATTTCGTTGCGCGTCCAATAACAATTAACTTTCCCCCGGGACAAACTAGACCTTCACTGGTTGGGTTTTTAATGGCGGTCATGCTGTAGATCTTGGCTACACAGGAGTTGCAGCAGTGAGAACGAGAGGTGGGAATAATTATATTATTAAAGTTAGTTAAAATGATTTAAATATTAACTTGCACTCAAAATTAATTACGTAAAGTGAGTTTTTGAGATTCTCAGTAATAAAAGTGTAAACCGAATGATCCTTGACAAGGATCTTAGATATGTAGGTACGTAGCTAGTACATTATACTGACTGCCGAGAGATCGCAGACAACCTGCAAACATCGAGATACGAGATGATCTGAACGATCGCGTGCAGCGGCAGGGCTGGCACAAGAGCATGGTTACTAACATTAGTAAAAAATATTTTGGTAGCTTTGAAATAAATAGACAGATTGGCGAAAAAGTGACGTTATCGCTTCTTAATCCATACAATATCTACCTATATATTATATAAATAAATAAATAAAATAGGCAAAAGGCGTTTTGACAGTTCAACAGCAAAAGCTTGGCAATTGACTAGTCGTGTCAACGTGAGGCAATATCGGAGCGAGGATCAGTTTTTCCATGACTCTCGGGATGTGAACCAATATTTTCTCCACATTGACAGAATGATGTCATTTATTCCTTAAGTTTCAACACTTTCAACCCTAGCGCCTTATTATTGGCGCTCACGCCACCGGCGCCAATACCGACTCGTGCGCAAGTTGAAGCCGTGGGCGCTTCTTCAGTGTTGTTGAATTATAATAGGGACAATATTATTTGATCCTCTAAAAACTAATTGATCTTTTTTGTATGTGCACTTTTAAAAAGGGNCACCACGCTCCTTGCACCTGCATAACAACCGCGTCGGCAGGAAGGTAGGCGAGGTCAGCGCTGCATGCTGCATGCTCACACCACCACGCTATAATACCCACACCACAGATCACAGAAACTGAAGGGAGATGTGAAAAGGGGCCGGGGCCGGTGTCGCAGCAATATGCCCAAAAACAGAACACACTGCTCACCGACAGCAATGATGACAGCAGTGACGTCATATGTGTAAACAGTTCACATTGCTTGCGTAGTACCACAGAATAATAATATGGTAGTACTAAAGATTATTTGAACGTTGAGTATGTGTGTGTGAATTTCTAATGCGACACTGGGTTTCGAACTCAGCGAATTAGTTGGCATCTCTCTAGATCTAGATATTAGCCACACCAATAGAAACTAGCCGTCTTTCCAGCAAATCATTATCATGATCATCATCCTCGTCCCCATCATTCTCATCATCAATATTTTCTTTATCATCGTCATCCTTACCCTCACCATCATCATCAGAATTAATCAAAATTAATTACGTTAAGTAAGTTTCTTGAGATTCTCAGTAATAAAAATGTTACCGATGAACCATTACATTATACTGACTGCCTGCCGTGAGATCGCAGACAACCTGCAAACATCGAGATACAAGATGATCTGAACGATCGCGTGCAGCGGCAGGGCTGGCACAAGAGCATGTTACAATGGTAAAAAAGATTTTGGTAGCTTGAAATAAATAGAGATTGGCAAAATAGTGACATCATCACTTCTTAATCCATACCTATAGGCAAATGGCATTTTGACAGCTCAGCAGCAAAAGTATTCACTAGTGGTGTCTATGTGAGGTGAGATCGGAGCGAGGATCAATTTTTCTATGACTCTCGCGATATAAACACTCCAGGATTTTCTCTACAACGATAGGATATGATTTATCCCTTCAGCTTCAACCCTAGCGCCTTATTATTGTCGCTCACTCCACCGGCGCCGATGTCTAGAACATTTCAAGTCGTTTTGAAGAACTTCTCATAGCTCATTTTGCTGAACAAAATCTATGGGAGAGTGGTGATTTGACTGCTCAATTAACCAGTCACCAGTCAATTGAGAGAAATGATCAACTGAATAGGGTTATTGTGTCATATCCAGATTGAAAGTATGTAATTTGCAACGTGCATAGGCTATCTGATTAATTTTTATTTCCATTTTAGTTGTTGATTTACATATTAAAATCTAATAGTTGCCTCTTGAAACTTTCTTGAATATTTATCTTTCCCTTCCAAAGTGTAGATATCCCGATGGGACCATTACATACTTTAAAATGTTTTTATGGATGTTCACCAACGACCAGTAGCTCGCAGCCATGTCGTGCGATGTTGGTCCGATAACGTAAATAATTGGCGCATAATTGATATTCTAATTTTTCATGTTCGAACCACGTGCGATGCATACTTAATTCGTACGGATCAAAATAATAATTGTAGATACTAAATTGAAAAAATCGACGACACAAAGGTGTTTTTCATAATCTGAAGTATACAAAAATACAGCTCGCTAGACACTGTACTGTACACACTATACCTATATTTTATAGCAGTATAAAAAATATAATAGGTACGTAAAATATACCCCTAATCAAGTTTAGCAGCAGGCAGATGCACTCAGCCCAATAGGAACAAANGGAACTAATAAAAAGGTAGGCTAAGTAAGATGGCCAAGCAGGTCTCATATTATTTAATGTGTCCTGTTATTATAAATCTTGAATTAATTAGATAACCGTTTACTCGCGAGTTTAGCGAGCGTAAATAAAATCGTTTAATAGATAAGCTACGATTAGTTCGAATCCAAGCCTCAATTTGCATTTAAACTCATATCGTTAGTTAAACCGCAATTTACTGTCGTTAATGTAATTTACAAAGCAACAGCTCAATAAACAAGAAAATTGTTTTATATCGGATCGCCCGCGGCGGGGGCTTTTGCAGAAATAGACATCCTGCTGACTGCGCTCGTTCGGACGCGTCGAAACAGTGAGTCGTGCGATTAATGTCGGGTAATGACTGAGTCCCTGCGCATTACGAATCGCTGGCCCGCGCCCGCTCATTACGGCCCATCCCGCTCCGGCATAAGGCAGCAGCGCCCGCGCACTGCTCATTACCATCTTCTTTTACCATTTTTCCCGCCCGAAATAGCCTCCACGCTGCGTTTTGTTTTTTAAATTGCTCATTTGCGTGCATGTTACCTGCAGATAAAAAATAGAGACGTCGCGATTCAATATTTTTAGTTTATGCTGATTGTTTTTTCGATGTTTACGATTGTTTTCGTTAACTTCGCGATAAATGAGGTGTTCGTTGCGGTTGTTTATGTCTTTATTGTCGCGGGTCGTGGTTTTCACGCACTAACTTACACATATTATTACTACCGCAGGTTTCGAATTTTATTTCGTTTTTATTTTCTCGCAAGTGATTAGGGTCGCCACACACAGGTTTCACGCCACAGTCACAAAACGTCGCCACACGAAAATGTTTGCAAATATGCCGGTGGCGGCGATATGTGGCTGTGGCGTGAAGCCCGTGTGCGGTGACCCTTAGAAAGCAGTCGCACGAGTGATATCGTGATATGAAATCAAAGCAAATATTAAATGCGACCGACACATTCATCATTGGCTTATACGTTTCTGAGCTAATTATACGTTGGTGCAGACGTGGACACTTTCTTACCCATATCACGTCTCTGCAACAGCTTTCCTGGGTAAAAACATAGCAGTTGAACCACTAGTTAGTCGTAATGGTCTCGCGGAGAGGTCGCGGCGGGAACCGATGCTTCTAATTTACGACCAATTTTTCCTAAGTTGTCATTTAGAAGCGAAGGAAAACATCGTGTTACGCCTCTCAATTATTTTACCAAGAAAGTCGTTACGTTCCATTCCACGCAATCATCTCCGTCAATATTATGCGAAGAATACGAGCCGGTAATTTGCCTTCAGGCGAAGTGGAGATGATTTAGTAACAGCTTTTCTGATCCTTCATACTGAATAGCGCTGACACGTAAAGTTTACAGTTTATTTAACGGAGAGTTATTATTTTATCTCCTGTAAAATTGGTTAGCCTGGGATATGTAAAAGTACTTCTTGTAACCCTTAATGCCATGCACAATATGCACATGCCATGCCCATGCTGAGACGGGTATTTTTGCTGCCCAATATTTTTTCTTATACGTAGCATACATTATTATTTTGTATGATCATGACATGTTTAAATTCTTTTTCGTATTAATTAACACTTTTTAAAGTTGTCACTCCCAAGACTCCCAAAGGTTTTGTAGGGTAAAGAAGTTAAATGATGTCATCAATTGGCGAATTCAATTGACTAACTATCGAATTATACAGCACATATCTTCACCACCACTTACCCTAATTGACTCGCTCCATCCATGGGGAATTGTGAAAACTGCTTCCACAAGTTAACTTTGGAAATAAGTGTTAATATATAACATTGCTTTTAATTTTGAAGGTGAATCAAGTGCAATCACAAAAAGTGACAAAAATGACGAATCGTTTTTTTTCAAGTAAGTTTTGTACCTAAAATATATACTCGTATTTGTTAGCCTTAAAAGTTACACCACAAGACGGGTAATTTTATCCAGATTCCAAAAATGTGACTCGATAGTATGTAACGGTAATAATGATAAGCTATTTTAGGGAAAATGCGAATAGGTATTTTTTTTATTGCCGCGGGAAGGGGGGGGGGCACTTCACGCAGTAGCGCCTTCCCTCCGCAGATCGCGTGAGGGGATAAGAATAAGAAGTTGTGAGTTTGTTGCGGCGCATCTTCTCAGCACTTGCCAAAGTTTGTTTCGAAGCGCTGGTAGGGCAAAAAAAGAATGAGACATGTACATAGGCTCCTTAAGAGCATTTCACGATTTGCAAGTACTATTTTAATTAGTCTATACAAATAAAGATAATTTTGATTTTGATCTAAAGTGGAATAAAGTCCTGTATTGCTTATACAACTTACTTAGCTAAGTAGTTACAATAATGTTGTTGATTGATTGACATATTGATTTAAAGGCCTTTGAAAAAGAGACTGAGTGACTGAGTTTCTTGCGCTGCTTCAGCAGCACTGGCCCATTTATTGTCCTGAAGCAGTGGTAGTGTTCGGTGTAATATGACCGAACAAACTGAATCAGCGCACTCGTTCGCCATGCATCGATTTTACTTCAAATAACTAAGTAATTAGTGCAAATCACGGAACCATCGCGACCGGGTGCGCTCAGAACATTTTTAACATTTTAACATAACTTTTAAACAAACAAACATAACATTTTAACATAACATGCAAACCCTGAGCCGCAATATATAGGGTTAATACTGGGACGTGTAAAAGTGCTTTTTTTAAGCCTATTTACAGAAATAAATGAGTTTTATGAGTTTTTATACATAGTTTATGGAAGCAATTAATTAATAACAAGATTGATGTGTTTCTAAGGTGTGTCTCAGAATGATCGGTTAACGTTGTGAAGTGTAACCCCGTCAGGTGGTGAAGGAAATGGTGCGGCGCGAGTGCAAATGCCACGGCGTGTCGGGCTCATGCGCCGTCCGCACGTGCTGGCGCGCGTTGCCGCCCTTCGCCGCCGTGGGCGCCGCCCTGCGCGACAAGCTGCGGCGCGCCAAGCACGTGGTAGCTGAGGAGTATGACCTGCGGGGTCTGCACGCGAGAGCTGTGGCGCTGAGGCACCCGAGGCTGGTTGTACGAAGGTAAGGACAAGGCTCTACATTTATCATTATCAAAAAGTGGTGACTGAGTTTGTTCCGGCGTTTCTTCTCAGCACTTGCCAATGTTTGTCTCGAAGCGCTGGTAGGGCCCAAAAGATAAGGAGACATGTAAAGTGCCCCATAAGGGCTACCTTTTCTTTTTTTATTATTTTCTATTGACGTTCATAAGTGCCACTTGTGGTCTAAACTGAATAAATATTTCTGATTTTGATTTTGATTGATCACCATTTTAGCCACAAAATGTCTATTGCTCCTCCATACAACAGAAACTTTGCGGGCTTCCTCCAATGATTTCCAAATAGTCTCTTCAGTATTGCAAGATATAGCGTCTCAGTCTATCCTGATTGTAACCACGTAGAACACTCTTTATGACAGAAGAGAATGAATCACGTATGATGAAGTATTATTAACGAGCACTACTTACACCTACTAAATACCGCATCGTTGGGGTGCAGAAATAGTAGGCTCACGTAGGTCAGTATGTAGTATCTTCCCAACACCATGGTATGGTAGTGGAAAGAGACACATTAGACATTTAATAATGATAATACCAACCACAATAGGTATTCACCAATTAACCGCTCCATCCATCCAATTACATCCAACAATAACTAAAGTGCCTTGATCGAAAAAAATCTGATTTATAGAGAACATCGTGGCTTCTGAGAGAAGATTTTTTTATGCATAACAAGGCAGGTATTTGAACGTAATCGTACCTTATAAAATATGCTATACTAAGGCTGAGTTGCACCACCTAACTTTGACCGTAACTTTGACGATAACCGGTGGTTTTTGTATAGAGTTTGACAGATTTTTGACGTTTGTCAAAGTTAAAGTAAGATGGTGCAACCTAACCTTAGATTATAACTAAGAAATAAAATCGTTGTGTTGTGGTGGTAGGACCGGCAAGCCGCCGCGCAAGTCGGAGCTGGTGTTCCTGGCGAAGTCGCCGCAGTACTGCGAGCCCGACGCCGCCGCCGCCGCGCCCGGCACGCACGGCCGCCACTGCAACCGCACCTCCAAGGGTACACCACGTATTATGTACTTAACAGAACGAAATAACCCAGAATTAATCCAGCCAGGCAGCCCTTTTAATTACTAGTTAAAATTCCTTTGAATGTATTTTCACGTTGCATGCTTCCAATATGATAAGGATTTCATAATTTTTAACAGTCCAGTCAGTTACGAAACCAATCATATAACGTACACCATACTAAATTAGCTTAAATATCACAAAAGACAAACACATTTAGGTAATTTAACCGACTTTCTTCCTTTTTTTGGAATGCTAAGATTCCTTAGATTTTATTTATAACTAGCTGAACCACTAAGCTGTTTTTTACACTTAAGGGTATGAAAAATAGTTTAAGTGTAGGCACAGGTGTAGGTCCCATTCTCAGACCCACTGAAGATTCACACAAAATTTAATAATTGGAAGAGTTTTGTTACAAATACTGTGACACGAGGATTTTACAAACTAAACTTATTCAACAACTAGCTTTTGCCCGCGGCTTCACCCGCGTGAAATTTAGTTTGTCACAGATCTTCATAAATTATAGCCTATACTAATATGTTATTCTGGGTTATATAAACAATAATACTGTAAAGTTTCATCAAAATCCGTTCGGTAGTTTTTGCGTGAAAGAGCAACAAACATCCAGACATCCAAACTTTCGCATTTATAATATTAGTAGGAAGTAGGAAATACAAAATAGCAATGGTATAATGAGGTTTTGTGTTACGCAGGCGAGGACGGCTGCGACCTGCTGTGCTGCGGGCGCGGCTACAGCACGGTGACGCTGGTGCGCGAGGCCAAGTGCCGCTGCCAGTTCCACTGGTGCTGCTCCGTCTCCTGCGACTCCTGCGTCACGCGCACCGACACGCACGTCTGCAACTGACCACACACACCTTGATGACGATGATGAGTTATCCGACCTATTTAGGATTTCGGCCATGGCGACCGTTGCGACTCCTGTCTTACGGGACTATTCCCACCTCTCGTTCCCACCACTGCAACTCCTGTTTAGCCAGGATCTACAGCTTGACCGCCACAAAAACCCAACCAATGAAGGTCAAGTTTGTCCCGGGGGAAAGTCAAACTGTCATTGGACCCGCAACGAAATTAATCAGAAGAACATAGGAGGAGTTCGAAATTAAGCTTCGACTTCCATCCATTGCCAAGCAGATGACAGGTGACAAACAAAGGTTTAAAACCTTTAAGAAAAGACTCCTGTCTTGGCGGCTCTGTTGCGCCCGAAGATGGCTTACTTAGCCGATCTTCGAAGCAAAACCAATGAGGGCGTCTAAGCACGCCTCCAACATAATTATAGTGAATGGTGGCAGAATGGAAAAGCCTCTCTAAACAGTTGTGCGCTGCTCCTCGAACTCGTGGACTCGCCTCTTCACAATCTGCCGCCATTCTGGCCGCTGTGCTGCCAAACCTTCCCGTTGAGAGGACACTGGATCGATTCCACTTCAATGCTATGATTATAGAGAAGAATAACTGCTGAAAGTATTGGGAAAATGATTGGATATAACGTAAAGGGAGATAATAGGACATCATGACTCTAAACTAGCAGAGATGAAACTCCATAACATGGGTCTACTAATGAATTTAATCTGAAATTACGCAAATAAATAAATTTGATTTGATAACCTTACAGAATTTTCAGGAAGCAACTACCCAAATGACGTTACGTTGCATCTTCTATCGAGTTTAAAATTCGTCGTCTTAATTTTTTTCAGGGAACTCTATCGATAGTAATGTTGTGATTGCAAGAGATGAGGAAGAACTACCTATGTAAATTCAAAAACAAATGTGAAGTGAAGTGAATTGCGTAGTGTTTAAAACAATAATCAAGCACAAGTGACTGATAAACTAACATTTGACCGTCCACTTACTTTAAATATCTAAGTTTGTTAAAAAAACAATGTTACTTACCTACTGATTCATGTGTTATCAACTTTAGTACCTCTAATTAACTAATGAAAAGTGCTTTGTCTTTTAAAATCGAACATCAAACTTCTTGACTGAAAGAAAAAGCATTTTTCGTTTGTAAATATGAGGGTATTGTGAAATATTAACTGTGCTCTACATTTTTCATGATACAGCTAAATACAACCATTTATGTAATGGAATAATCCGTAACTTAATTGAAATCATTATTCTAATAAAAATTGTATCGCCAGTAGATTGAACATTCCCGCCAGTATTTTATGTACTTAATAATTACTTAAACGCATAATATTTTATTTATTCATAATAATTAGTGTTAAGTCGAACAAATTCTCGAATGACGCTTAATATTTTGATATTATGTTTAGTTACGATAATAATATTTCATATTATACTTACTCTTTCTTATTTTTGGTTTCACACGTATTTTTTCAGCATTGGAATTTTCTTGCTCACAAAAAGCACTTAATTAATACTTTTATTTAAAACCAATACGGCATGGCCGTAAATCTTTATTTGTTGTTTTTTTTTAATTTTTCACTAACGACGAGTGTTAAGTGTAATTTTTTAATATCATTATTTTTGCAAAACCGAACCGTTCAGAACTTACTTTGCCCTGTTTTAACTCCTGATAATGTATTACCTAATAGGGTTGTTGTCCCAACATAAATAAAGTCAGCTTGCCAGCACAAGTAACTTAGTATTATGATGACATGCATTTAACGTGCAACTTGACGGCTTTAATAATAATATGAGTATTGAGTATTTTACATAACTAATAATCTGTGTATAATTGTTTCTAAGTTCTACTTTATATAAAAGAAAACAGAAAATTGAAAATACAATGTAATTACGATGCTTACTTGATGCACTCTACTTTTACTTTAGATAAATATTATTTGCCAATAGAAACTGCAATCCTAAAAATGTATTTATTAATAAAAAATATGTCTGACGCAGGGCGGCGCGCACTTTACATTCCTTAAGATAATTAACTTATTCACTTCATTCGTGCGATTTTTTAATAAAACATTGTTTTGTATAATTGTCTTTTATTGGCCTATAGTTACCCCAATATTGCGATACTACTTATTATGGGTAATTATAGGCCAAAATTACTCGAAAAAAATCTGTACCTGTAAGCTTTTTCATTATTAATGAGATACATTTTCAGTTATCTTAGTAGTAACTGAAAATGTATCTCATTAATAATGAAAAAGCTTACAAACCCTTACAACAGAGCTACGTTACAAACATGTTTACGCAGAAACATGCAAGTTATTAAGTTGCGCATATTAGCGCGGAATTAAAAGTTAAATAACGGTTCGTTAAAAGTTCGGCGGAGCGAGCTCGTTAGGCGAAAGCTCTCCGAACTTTTAACTAGCTGGAGCTTGAGTTACTCGCGTGATATTCGCTCGGTTAATATTTGATAAGCTTTTTGAAATCGAGGCGCTAAGTCTCGACAACGAACGAAAACTTTCAGCTAGGTGGAGCTTACATTTGCACTTACTGAAACTTACCGCTTCAGTTTTTTCATAATCATATTATTTCCTTCATAGTTTGATATAATGGAATAATATATTGACTATAAAGTACACTTACGCCCTTATTCACAAACATTACTATGAGGTCTCACAGTGTCCACGCGCACAGGGTGACACACGAACCAATTACAGACTCTATTCAACGCTGAACGTTGGAAGCATCGTTTGTGAACACGTTTCACTGTACGTGGATTTTCAATTTCAGTAAATCTATCAAGTGTTTTTCCGCCTTTACGATTGCGATAGAAGAGCCATCTGTCGCTGGATGAGTCGCGCCGCCCACTAATGCCTCGCTGGTGTCGGTGGTGACGTTAATAAATCCTGGCATTTACAAGCGTAATTATATCAGCCTGTGGCTCTACCGGTTTATTATGGAAAATCCTGAATCGCGGAATAGGTAGGGGGGAAAAAAAAGTTAAGTTTCACTTCCGTGCTTTGTTGCAATAAAAACCTCAAACCATTTCTATTTATTTCAGTCTTATAAACACCCTAAAGTTATTCAAAAGTGGTAAACAAACCCTCACTAGTAAGATTTCCCCCCCTTACTACCAAACGCCGCAGTGTTATTACTTATAAACAATCAAATACTTACGAATAGCAAGTGCCTACCTAAGTATAATGTTAATAAACAGTGTATCCCGGTAGTAAGCTCATGTAATTCGCAGCCCGTAAATAGAGCGTCGTGTGTCAACTGCTGCCAAACAGCATAGCGTAATGAAAACACACAGATCAGAATAGTTACGAGTAGAATAGAAACAAACACATTTCGGTATGCAATAGAAGAGTCTTTTCATTTAAAGTTATATAAAAATAGGTAAAAGATATTAACTACATATTAAAACTTACTTTACATTTCTAGTATCTGTAAAAGAAACTTACGCCCGTATTCACAAACGATACTTGCGTGAAGCAGCAAATCGAACGCGTTGAATAGAGCTCTGTGATTGGCCGTCCACGCGCACTGTGAGACCTCATAGTAATGTTTTGTGAATACGGGAGTTACTTATTTAGGTAGATAAAGATTTGAATAAAAAATAAGTTTGCGCTACCTACTGTTCTTGTTAGGCTTTAACAATTTCCGTCGTAATTCACCAAAACGAGCGGTTTATGCAAATTCGACGATAAATACCGCGCTCGGCTATTATTTGTGACCCGAACTATTAATTAATTGCTATTATTAATTACGCCCGCCTTGCACAGATACTTACGAGGCGGGAACAAAGTAAATAAATGAAAACATAATAAATCGATTCCACCAAAAACATTTTCAAGATTTTAAAACTATCTAACTAAATGTAACTTATTGTCTTTTTGGGTATTATTTAAAAAAAAAGGAAAATGTAGGCAAGAAAAGATCAATATCAAAAAAGTTAGTTACCTATACCAGATTTCATGTAGGTAGAGCCACAGAATAATAATAAGTACTACGTAGTAGAGCTAACGAAATTAAGTGGCTACTGCAAATACTAAGTGTTCTTTAACAGAAAACTAGTAAACAATTTTTAATAATTTACGCTCGTGACGGTTGCGTTGTTAATTAATTTACTCTTTTGATTAGACTTAGAGTTAAGTCGTGGTTATGTAAAAATACATAAAGTTATTCAAAAACTTTTAACAGGTAGTGCCCTCTATCGATGAGAAGACACACTATTGTATTATCTACTCAACAATAGATGGCAGTAGTACATTTTAAACATTAATAAAAATATCTATTAATTTATTCAAACTATAATGATACACAGTTTGTGTATTAAAATAAAATGTGAACATAAATATCTATAATGTTCGAATATTGATCAAATAATATTTACTTGATTGAAGCAGTGGTTGAAAGAAGAAGGAACGAAACGGCATTGTTAATGTCAAAATTGTCAAATTGTCAGTTTGACAATTGACAATAGAAGCTGCGATTGTATACAAATGTGAGAAACTTTTTCAAAGTAGAAAAATACCCCAAAAATACTCTATCCAAGCTGAAATTACCAAAATATGCCTAAGCCGACGTGCGTTCAGTGCAGTACAAACGATTCTTTACTTTGGCGAAGCGCTGAAAATGGGCAAATATGCAACGAGTGTCACCTAGTGAACACTGCGAGCAAAGAGACCAAGCCGGAGGCGGCTGTGAAACTCGAGCACGATGTGAAGGAAGAAAAAGACGACGGTGACAGTAAGAGCGGGAAGAACGAGTCGGAGTCCACTCCAGCGAAGGCTACAGGGAAGGGAACTAGAAAGAGTACGCGATCGACGCGTTACAAGCCAAAGACGCCAGCGCCCGCGCCCGCCAAGCCGCCGGCGCCGCGCGGCCGCGGCCGCCGGAGCATCTTCAAGCGGCAGCCCGTCAAGGCTCCCACCGCCACCGCCACTGTTGTCACAAGCGATTCAGTATTTTATCAGGTTGTTGCACTTATATTTCCTTCATCTTGCATATTGTGACTTTCAATCCTTTATTAAATCTTCCTGCATGCAGTTGTTTGGCCACGCAGGGCACGACATCATGTACTTTGTTGACTACCTAAGTAAGACCTACCATTAACCTTGCTATCAATTTCGATATTTTGTAAGTTATTATTTGCCAATATGACAAACCCTTCTTATTGTATCTTCTGCTTTCAGGGCTCGTACATGCAAGTAGGAGACATAGTGTCAGTGACGGACCTGGAAGGGGACATATACTACGCACAGATCCGCGGCTTCATGACGGACCAGTACTGCGAGAAGAGCGCCGTGCTGACCTGGCTACTGCCCACCAAGGCCAGCCCACCACCTGAGAAGGGATTTGATCCTGCTACTTATATTATTGGTAATGTTTAATGCCTGTAAAAATTGTCTTGAGATACAAGCAAGATATTATCGTTAACTTAATTTAGTGTTTTTTTATAAAACACAAGCAAAATTGTATGTAGCAATACAATTCATTATTTTAATAATGCAAAAAAGGTTTGAATGAAAAAGACACAATCATTACATTTTTTTCTTTTAACATATTTATTTTTGTTTGTATTTTAGGACCTGAAGAAGAGCTTGCTCGGAAACTTGATTCAATGGAGTTTGTGATGCACGCACCCTCAGACTACTACAAGGCCAGTAATAGTCCGTACCCACTCATTGACAGTGAAGTCAACCACTACACTGGATACATCTGGACATCACTCGAGGCTAAGGAGAGAGGGTCTTAGCGATATCATCTGTTTAAGGTTATTTTTGTATTACTTAGTTATAATGTGTTAAAAATATGACGATAATAATTAAATAAGCTCAAACATAAATAAAAAAGTTTATTATTGATTTTGCATGATCTTGGACAAATTAATAAAATATGGTATTTCTGGGCGGTGTTTCTATTATTTATGGGCGAGGCACATAGCTCAGAGAGAAAGGTTCTCGAATAGTGACCACGGGTCNCACGGGCCACGGGCTGGAAGAAGTAGCGTGGGCAGGCCTCCTACTAGGAGTAAAGGTCGCGGGAAGAGCCTGGATGCGGACAGCGCAAAACTGTTAATTGTGGAAAACCTTGGGGGAGGCCTTTGTCCAGCAGTGGACAATGGGATAGGCTACGATTTGGAGATATAACGAAGAATATTGGCTGTATAATAAATATTCCTTCGCTTGGACTTGCAGTAAAATACAAATGTCAAAATTGAGTTTGACGTTTGGTAGCATCTGTCAAAATTTTCTAAACTCTGCCGGTTTTTGTGAAAATTTGTTTTGCAATTTCGCAATCTTAGTCAAGAAAATGAGCCGCAAAGAAGCATTGTCCTCATTCATCCAGCAAATCCACGGCCGGCCCGTTGTTGTGAAACTCAACAGTGGCGTAGATTATCGAGGTAAACAAAGTATTCATCTTCATTGTTATTCCACTTTATTTTGTTGTTATAGGTTGTAAGTTGTAATTATACAAAAATCTTTATTTCCAAACGTATACAGCGTGAATATACTAATTAAATACTTATAATTATCGTCACAAAAAGGTTTGAAGTGAAAATTTTAGGTTATGATACCATCCACAAAATAACACCTCTTAGAATGATAAATAGAATTCCAAATTTCAGACTGCACAAGATTGGTAATTCATTTATGGGGAAATGTATTAAACTTTTCTATAAATTACCACAAACTGTTGTAGAATTTATTGCCCATTCATAAATTTAAAGCACATATCAAAAGCACCTTAATGAAAAAGGGCTACTATAAAGTTGATGATTATATAAAAGATAAAAACGTTTGGAATGTTTAACTACCTAGCTCGCATCAATACCTATGACTATAATATTTTGTATATTTTAAAGACTGTAAACCCTTGAAAAGGAGGCTGACAATAGTGACTGAGTTTCTTGCGCTGCTTCTTCTCAGCACTGGCCCATTTATTGTCCCGAAGCAGTGGTAGGGTTAATATTGGGACGTGTAAAAGTGCTTTCTAAAAGCCTATTTGCAAAAATAAATGAATTTTATTGAATTTTAGAACTACTCTTTTAAATAGTTTTGGACATTCTACTACGTAAATATATTTCCTACGTACTTAAGTCCTAATAATAAGCTCTCATACTGTCTTTCAGGTGTTTTGGCATGCTTGGACGGCTACATGAACATAGCTTTAGAACAAACTGAAGAATATGTGAATGGTCAGCTCAAGAACAAATATGGAGACGCATTCATCCGCGGGAACAACGTCCTCTACATCAGCACTCAGAAGAGAAGGATATGAAACTGGTTGTACTGATACATACTTTTCTAAGTTAGTGTGTAAGGATAAATAAAATAAGTCTTACCATAATTACTGGTTTTTACTTTATTCTGAAGACCATAATCCAAATATTTAGTGTAAATGTAATTTTCATTTCTTCAAAATTAAAGTGGCAATTATAAAATCTCCCAATTACCACATTCATATGAGCTTTATCTAGTTATTTATGGGTACGTCTCAGAATAAAGTATTTTGAATTTTAGGGACATGTCAGGGAAATAACTGACCACATTAATTCCAATAATATTATTTATGTTCTCTCACAATCAAAAATACTATCTTTTCACTTACTACCTTGTCTGGGCTCCAGGGTATGTATAGTAAAACTTCACATCTTCAGTTCCCTGCAAAAAAACATAATTACCTATTCAAATTAATTTCTGGTAAGTGTAGAATATTTTTTTTAGGTAAGGCAAATAGAGTGCCAAATTGTGCCAAGTCTAGTTATTGACTTGTTGACCATGTTATTGTATGCCCTAATATTTTTCATATTATACAATTTTATTGCTACTAACCGACTCATCAGGGGTGTTTTTGGAAAGTTTAGAGATGTGGGTTCAAGTATTTCTAACATGGAATACTATTAACATAACTGAGGTTCCCCACTTAAAATTATTCCCAATATATTGAATAATAGATTTATTTATTTATCTTGTACATTAATATGTTTATACAGGGTGCAATGAATTTGTCAATCAATTTTTCATCTTACTAATATTATAAATGTGAAAGTAACTCTGTCTGTCTTGCTTTCACGCCTTAACTACTGAACCGATTTTGATGAAATTTGGCATAGAGATAGTTTGAGTCCCGGGAAAGGACATAGGATTGTAGTTTTTATCCCGGTTTTTTGAAACTGGGACGCGCGCGATTAAGTTTTTCTGTGACAGACAAAATTCCACGCGGGCAAAGCCGTGGGCGGAAAGCTAGTAGGAATATATTTTTTTAAATAATATGTTTAATTTTACCTTGTCAATCAGTGGAATATCTGCAGGGCCTTTACCATTGCCGAGGTCGGCGATCAGCCTCTCGCCCCTCGCTCCGTAATTGTTCACATAAGCCTCTCTATTGCCTTTTCCCGCGTCGGGGTCCATCGCAGCATCCACACGGTAATTCAGTATCCTCGGATTAAACAGTGGAGCCCAGAAACTTGAGTATAAAACACCATCACTGCTTGCTAATATCACCAATAAAAATCCTATTCTGATAAACATTTTTGGAAATGGCTCAATATAAACTTGTAATTATTTTCGGACGCGCAAATTATGCAACAGGTTTGACACGAATGATCACAATAAGGAAATATTTAGATGTACGAGGAACACTTGATGTGGTTACCTACTTAATACAACATACTATAGTTTGTATGTAAACAGTCGGCTTGAATGCTAACATCTGTTCAAGGTAAGGTGATGTTATGACTTAAGGTTCGGTCGACGCATCTCGAGCTTGCTTATTTTAATTGAGTAAACCAGAGTACCTTACTGGCCTGTATTATTTGTCCCATATAATATTGATTGATGAAATGGTAAAGGTCGCGGGAGGTGACTGGATGCGGGCGGCGTAGGACCGGTCTTTGTGGAAATCCATGTCCAGCAGTAGACGAAATATTTCGTCAGAATGTTTATTTTGTTCAATATGAAAGAGAAAACACTAAAGAGAGATACGGTTTTTTTACACTTCTTTAAAAAACCGTATCTCTCTGATACTTTTTGACTTGCGATACTATTGCCCTTAAGCCTTGACATCCACCCGTCTGGACATTGTACATAGGTTGATGCGAAATTATGTTAATGCATTTTGTTCATTACAATAAGGTACGCGGACGCGCGACGACCGTTTATTGCTACTCGCAAAACTTATACTTCGCAAAAACCATAGAAAAAAAACAAAAAGACAGAATCAGATGTTTGCAGTAAATTATGTAATAACCCTTCTTCTGGCATAGTCGGGTAATTAAAAAGTAGGTTTAAAATTAAAATAAAAAAGTCAACGTAATGTAAAATATTTATTGTAAAAAAACACCTTATCTCTCAATTATCTACAAAAATCACTAGAATATACAATATTGTTCAGTCACCCTGTATCTTTGGGCTATTTCACAGTACAACATAAAATATGAATGTCACTGTTCATTTCCTAAACCTCTTATTAAAAAATGAAAAATTGTATAAATTAAAATAATATGCAATTAATTAATTAGTTTTACCTGGTGTGATCAACTTTTTAAAACAAAGGCGCTCAAAATTAACGTTTTCATATTACACCCTTAGATTATTATACCAACGTAAACAAAGTTGGGGTTATAAGAAAACATAAATTAGGTACGCAATTGCATAATCTACCTACCCAAAATTAACAACTGTTACTTGCTAATTGTTTTAACAACCCCTAGTGGATTCCCTCAAGAGGCGAGTAGGACTTGTATTGGAAGAGCTCGGGTCCGCCGTATCCGTACAGCAACTTGCCTTTGCCGTTCTCGTCGTAGTACGGATAGCGGTAGTTTGGTCTGCAAAAAAAAATTTAGCTTTCATGTTGGTACGTAAATCATTCATCTCCAAGAAAAGTTAAATTACGCCATCATCAAGCAAGATCCTGTATTCCCGTTTTCCCCATTAACTGTATGTTAATGTTCCTTACAGGGGGCAATTTTACTGTGCTCGATTTTACAGCTTAGCTCGGATCACATCGCCAAAAAAACTATTCAAAGTTAAGTACTTAAAGAAATATGAACACCATAAACATTTTCTTCCACTTTTTAAAGACTGCTGACTCCTAATCGAAAAAACTTAGCAATGTTATAGCAGCGAAAAATTGCGACGTTCTTTTATATATCGTGATGCAGTCGTCGTTCGTATTTAACGGCTATGTCGAGTGCAGATGCAGTGGCGAGCAATCAAAGTACCTAATACGATACAGTATTATGGCTCGAAGAAAGTTATGCAGGGTAGATGACTTACCTTTCGAAGTACTGGAAGTTGGGCGCTCGAGGCTGCGGTAGCGCTCCTTCGCTGGCCACCAGAGTCGCTGCGGCAAACATCAGCTGCTGGCAATACATTTGTAATTAGCAACTGATCAACTGATGGAGCTGTGGTGGAAATTAGTAGGTACTAGGTAGCTTAGGTAAGTAATTTGTCATTATTGTTATTATGTTTGCTATTTCGCAACTGTTATTATGGGGAAACGCTTATTAATGAGGTATAGTAATTAACATACAATAGGTATGAAATATTATTATGTAGTTTGTTAAACTTTCCATAATTATTTAAAGCAAAATTATTAACTTTGTAACTATTTTGTACTAATTGCCTACATTAATTTCATTCTAGAAAACTGGACCCTCTGCAGTCTTGACGTTGCCGCGTTGGTGTAACGGTGATGACTACCACTAATATGAAATGTGGTAGCTAACACCTGCTGAGATCCTGCCTACTGTCTACACCACTGCTGCTAACGTCTTTCGGAAAGGTATTTTATCATACTACAGGTAGGTACTATTTACGTATCATGGCATAACGTGTATCGAGGTACGAAATTGATATAACTTGTTTTTACTACTTTAATATTTAATGTATTACATATTACATAATGTACAATGCATTATTATGCCAAACATTTTGTAGTACTAAAATAAGTAATATGTAAACACTTCATAATAAGACCTAGCGACTTACTTCCTGGCATTACTTTCACCTAGTTTACCTCCAGCGTTGGCTGGTTTTAGCTTGAAATATTTTGTCATTTGTGTTATCAAATTGTTACCTGGCCCCAACCACCATCCTTTGACCGAGACACACTTTCACAACCACATAGGTAACCACAGGTAACCATTACACAACATAACCCAATTACTAGGAGAAAGTCTCTACACTCACCATTATCAGTAGGTATTTGATGTAGCTTGCCATTGTATTGTTTCTCCTACTGTGCACTATTTGTTGCCAGTTAAGTTTTCGACACTAACTTGAACCGTTCGGTAGGAACGTGCGTGCGTCACGCTAAAAGCTGTTACGATTACTGGTTAGTGGTGGTGGGAGGGTACGCTTGGCCGCTCGCCGAGCTGTCTTGGTCCCCACCAAAACCTGTTACGAACTTTACAAACTTTTCCCGCGGCGTAGGATATCGGCAAATCTAATTTTGCGGAATGTTGTACGAAGAGATAGGAGCTGTTCCTCATTCAGAAATAGCTAATTATAGCACCTGTTTAGGAAAACAGGCTTAATTCATATTTTATGATTGACCTAGTTATACCTACCTGCCCAACATTATGCTAGCATCTTTGTGCTAGGTACGGTTCAAACAAGTTAGTAGGTAGGTATTACCTAGTTATCCTTTTTTATCTTGATGGCTCTGTAATCTGAGCTAAAACCCCTCTTAAAAAAATATAGCACAGGGTTTGAACTATTTAAAAATAATCTTAAATTCTGACGACTTCCACTCTGTCCCGTTACGCAATTCCTACAATTTTGTGTAGGAATATCAGATTCAGATTTTTTTTATAATACATTGAAATATTTTTTTTTTTTCAAAAACTGCAGGAGTTGGTAATGTAAGCATACTTTTATCAAAGTTACATTATTTTCGTCATTTATCGTTAATAACTGTTACTGAAAAGCTGGAGTCGTGTCTTGACATGCCGTACCTATCTACGTTTATAAGGTGACTCAGCATACTTCATGTCGTCAGTCATTCGCGGGAAAGCACTGCGTGCGGTGTTGTGCGATATTTTTAACTTGCATAGTGACAATAAAAACAAAGATAATCAGGCCCGCAAACAACAAACGTTTAGATTAAAAGGTGATTAGGTTAGTAACATTTTTGCAGTACTACTTACTTAATTTAACTACAGCTGTGTTACAGCGCTGTGGGTTTATCATGCTGTCAGACATGGATTGTTATTGTGGCTAACTTCAGAGCGCTCGCGAAAGTAGCAAAATATGAGGAAAACTTTGAATTAAATCTGTGAATTAATGTTTTCGTGATAAAAAATCTACAATTATCTTTACGATTGGATTAATAAAAGTAAATGAAGTATCAATTTAGTTTTCAATAAAGATAAATTACAAATAAATGATACCTATTGTTTTTTTTTCTCAGCAACATCGACTACCGGCCATGGACTCAGCTTTAAGAAAACAGCTGAAAGATATAGCGTGGTAAGTCCTACGTAAATCAGATAAAATTATTATTGATAGACACCCAGTAGGTACCTAGATGACGATTGTCTCCATAATCCTTATCTAAGGCGAACCCCCAGAGTTAACTGTTAAGGTGACCTATACTCTGTTAAAGACATATTTCTTATCAAGTAAAAGTACCTACTTATGCCTCCAAGTAAGAAATTGTTCTATTGACGTGATATTTGGGGAATCACGCCTACAACATTTGTGTTGAGTCCAACTTCCCCCACCATAGCTTTCAATTAGGCCTCACGCGCACTAGGCAGCCAATCCGCTATATGAACACTCTTGGCTGCCAAGTGTTCGGGCTCCCATACACCGTCATTGTGTTCGACTGGCTGCCTAGTGCGCTGGGTCGCTTATTGCTCAAAGCATTATTAAAATTTACTATAGATTGTTACATAGACTTTTTATTTCCAACTAGCTGACCCGGCGAACTTTGTTCCGCCTTAATGGCAATAAATAAGCAGCCTTTTTTTTATTTCGAACGGGATAAAAAGTATCCTTTGTCCTTCTCCTGGCTCTAAACTACCTCCCTGACAATTTTCAGCTAAATCGGTTCAGCCGTTCTTGAGTTATAAGTGGTGTAACTAACATGACTTTCTTTTATATTGTATAGATATACCACTTGTACCACTTTCTATGAAATAAATTGTTTGAATTTGCAACTTCCAGGTGTAAGGAAGTTTGGAAAGAGCCAGTCTGTAGCGGCGCCGCGCGCGACTTAGTGCGACAGTGCGCGTCGCTTCCCACGTCCGAACCTGAACCTGAAGCTGATCTGCTGCAAGTCATTGATAGCAGCCGCCGCTTCCCCGTGCCCTTCCCTATTGACACCGTCAGGTAATAAAAACTGGAGATTCATAGTAGGTCCCTTCCCTATTGACACCGTCAGGTAATTAGAACTCGAGATTTATTGTAGAATATCTGGAAAAGAATAGCATGTAGAAGGCAGTGCTCGTCGCAGCCCGAGCCTGAGGCTGAGGCTGATCTGCTGCAAGTCATTGATAGCAGCCGCCGCTTCCCCATACCCTTCCCTATTGACACCGTCAGGTAATAACAACAGCTGGAGATAATATTAATGGGATTTTTGGAAAAAATAGCGTATAGTAGGCAGTGCTCGTCACAGTCCGCGTCCGAGCCTGAGGCTGAGGCTGATCTGCTGCAAGTCATCGCCAGCAGCCGCCGCTTCCCCATACCATTCCCCATTGACACCGTCAGGTAATAACAACAGCAGGAGATAATATTAATGGGATTTTTGGAAAAGATAGGCATATGGAGTTATGTTGGAAGCTGGAAGAGAATTCATTCCATTTTAAAATCCAAAATTCATTCAATACTTAAGTAAGAAGACTCTTTCCAGGGCTCATACACGTCCCAAAAGTAGCTTCCTCTACCATCACTTTGGGACAACAAATGAACTGGTCCTGAAAAGATGTGGCAGAAGAAACTCAGTGACCTTTGTCATTTTATAGTGCCATTAAATTGGAAACTGGCAGAAAACGCCATTTATTTAAACGTCAGTTTTGAGTGTAAACCTGTGGGTCTAGACAAAGTGCAAATTATAATCGCAAACCAGTCGAAAAGTGGTCGAAAAGCCCCTTTTTTGTATGGAGTTTTGACGGATTCGATTTTCGATTCGATCAAAAAGTGCGTTTTGTCTAGGGGGGCTGCTTCTAAGCCGATGATATTTTATGTCATTAATTGATATTTTACACAAAGTTTTAATATAATGCTGGCGAAATCACATCCAACTGTTCTACCATGCCTCTTTGTATAATAACATCGGTCTCCCGATAAAAAAATACTCATGTACCGCTATTTTCTGTTTCAGGCTAGAGAAGCTAAAATTGAAACATCCTGCGGAGCGACTGATCCGCAATATTTCGTCTACATACCCCATTATACACGAACGAGTCGTCTTGCTAATAGCTAATTTTCTGATCTATAAAAGGTATTTTAATTAATTTATGTATTTGTTTTATTTTCTGAAGGCTCTTGTAGAAAATCTATATCTCTATAATTTCCTTTTTTTAGTTAGTTCTCTAGACCAGCGGTTCCCGAAAGGTGGTCCGCGGAACCCTGGGGTTCCGTGGAAAGGCCGCAAGGGTTCCGTAAAAAATATTATCCCACGTTTCGTGACCGACCTTGTTCGCTCGCACCGACTTGTTTACGCACAAGGGAGGGGCAGGGCGCGCGGGCGGAGTAATACGGGGGTTCCGCTAGGAAAAGTATATTCAATTAGGGTTCCTTGGCAAAAAAAAATTGGGAAACCCTGCTCTAGACAATATTAATAATGTTTTAATTTGTTAATTTCCAGAAAATATGGAAGCAAAATCGAGAAAGAATTGTACAAAAACATGACAATCGCAGATTTAATTGATAGGATACTGAAGAAACGAGCCGTCACGTTCATCAAGGCCCAAGACCAGTACAAACTGCTAAGCGGACACAAAGGGTAAATTAAATGAAATTATTACTAACCTGCTTTCATCATCATCATCATTTCAGCCACAGGACGTCCACTGCTGAACTTGGGCCTTTCTCAATGATTTCCATATCGCCCGGTTGGTAGCGGCCTGCATCCTGATTTTACCTACTTGCATTCTTTTTTTTTTATCCATAACGAGGAAGCTCTTAACGTATCTCACCTGATGGTAAGTGACGATCAGGCCGAAGGTGGAAGCGAGCTTCACCCGGAATCCTCAACCACGGAGGAACTGGCCATCTTACCTCTAACTGCCAGAACACAATAATGCCTATTATGAATTATCTGGCCGTCCACAAAACTGGGTGACAACTCTCATAAAAAAACTTATAAAACTCCTTTATTTTTGTAAGTAGACCACAAATGGGCCTGTGTTGAGAAGAAGCAGCGCAAAAAACAGTCGCTATTAACAAGTTTGAATCGATGTTCATTATACCAATATAGTAATCTTTCACTTGATATCCAACTAACTGCTTATCAGGGTCGACGGATGGGAATCAGTGGGGACTGACGAAGAGAAGCCTCCGTTACTCTTGAAAGACTGCCTGAGCTACGACGAGATGAAAATCGCAGCGCTGGTGTCTGTGAGCGGACGCACAGTGTGTATTAATGATGGCACCCGCAAGAATGCTGGGGTCGTCCGCGAAGATAATGTTGAGAGCGAGGCTATTATTATTGGTGAGATTTTTATTTATTGAATAATTTAAAAAATAAAAAATATTAGTAATTTGTGTTGCACAAATCTAACACCCGTATTCACACACGATACTTGCTTAAGTGAAGCAGAAAATCGAACGCACAGCGTTAAATAGAGCTCTGTGATTGGTTCGTGTGTGACCCTGTGCATCCACGCGCACTGTAAGACCTCATAGTAATGTTTGTGAATAATATTCACAGTAGTGACATGCGACTCATCTTACACTCTCAAACACAACACTAACACTCACACACACACACACACACACACACACACACACACACACACACACACATAATTTGTTCATATATCACAATATTTATTATTCATAATCTTTAAAAAACCACAATAATAGTCACCTGATAAGGAATCGGAGCTGTATATTTAATGTAAAAATGTAATCTGTAATGCTCACTCAACACAACTACTGCGACACAGGCCTGCGAGCCTAGTGCAGAAGCTGTGGTTTATTACATCACAGGAAATGATATTCGTGAATAAAGATTATTTATTATTAATTTTTTTTATTCATTTTTCTTTCTTATTTTTAATTTTTTCTTTTTACAANGCACTGAATCTATCAAGTGTTTTTCCGCCGTTAGGATCGCGATAGAAGCGCCATCTGTCGCGCTGGATGAGTCGCGCCGGCCCACTAATGCCTCGCTGGTGTCGGTGGTGACGTCAATAAATCCTGCCATTTACAAGCGTAAATATCAGCCTGTGGCTCTGCCGGTTATCATGAAAAATCTTGAATCGCGGAATAGGTAGAGAAATAAAAACGTTCAGTTAGTCTCGCTTACGTACTTTGTTGCATTAAAAACCTCAAACCGGGCAGAGTTTTATTTATTTTATTTTAAACACCCTAAAGTTATTCAAAAGTGGTAAACAAACCCTCACTAGTAAGATTTTCCCCTCTTATTACCAAACGCCGCAGTGTTATTACTTATTAAACAATCAAATACTTATGAATAGCAAGTGCCTACCTAAGTATAATGTTAATAAACAGTGTATCCCGGTAGTAAGCTCGTGTAATTCGCAGCCCGCAAATAGAGCGTGGTGAGTCAGCCAGCTGCCAAACACATAGCGAAATGAAAACACACAGATCTGCAATAAAATTTTAGTAGGTACCCAGTATAATATGAGTAGAATGGAAACAAACACATTTCGGTAATGCAATAGAGTCCTATCTTTTCACATAAAGTTAAGTACATAAATAGGTCAATGAAATAAGTCAGAAATTAATAATAAATAACATTACTAATTTCTAGAATCTGTAAAATAAACTTATGCCCGTTTTCACCACCAATCCCTAATTTTTAAGTGACCCCTATAATATGATAACACATAACAAGAATTTTGTTTTCATAGGGGTCACTTAAAAATTAGGGATTGATGGTGAAAACGAGCTAATTAGGTTACGTACCTACTTTGGTAGGTAGATAAAGATTTAAAATGAGTTTGCTCTTACTGTTCTTGTTAGGCTTTAACAATTTCCGTCGTAATTCACCAAAACGAGCGGTTTATGCAAATTCGACGATAAATACCGCGCTCGGCTATTATTTGTGACCCGAACTATTAATTAATTGCTATTATTAATTACGCCCGCCTTGCACAGATACTTACGAGGCCGGAACAAAGTAAATAAATCAAAACATAATAAATCATTTCCACCAAAAAGATTTTAAATTTTTAAAGCTATCTAAATGTAACTTATGCAATAATTGTCTTTTTGAGTATGATTTAAATTTAAAAAAAAGTAAAATGTAGCCAAGAAACGATCAAAAGCAAAAAAGTTATAGACCAGAATTCATGGTAGAGCTAACCAAATTAACTGGCTACGCCTACTGCACAGTTCCTAGTGCTATTAGTGTTCTTTAGCAGAAAACTAATAAAAAAAATATCTACGCTCATGTGACGGTTCCATTGTTAATTTATTCGTTAAAGTAAAAATACATAATATAGTTATTCAAAAACTTTTAACAGGTAGTGCCCTCTATCGATGAGAAGACACACTAGTGTATTATCTACTCAACAATAGATGGTAGTAGCTAAGTAAATTTTAAACACTAAATATAAAATTAAGCAATTCACTAAAACCATAATAATAGCTTGTATTAAAATAAAATATGAACATAAATATCAAAATGAATTGTTCTAATATTAATCAATTAATATTTAATTGATTGTAGCAGTGGTTGAAAGAGGAAGAAACGAAACGGCGTTGTTAATGTCAAATTGTCAGTTTGACAAATGACAATAGAAGCTGCGAATGTATACAAATGTGAGAAACTTTTTCAAAGTAGAAAAATACCCTAAAAATACTCTTCCCAAGCTGAAATTACCAAAATATGCCTAAGCCGACGTGCGTTCAGTGCAGTACAAACGATTCTTTACTTTGGCGAAGCGCTGAAAATGGGCAAATATGCAACGAGTGTCACCTAGTGAACACTGCGAGCAAAGAGACCAAGCCGGAGGCAGCTGTGAAACTGGAGCACGATGTGAAGGAAGAAAAAGACGACGGTGACAGTAAGAGCGGGAAGAACGAGTCGGAGTCCACTCCAGCGAAGGCTACAGGGAAGGGAACTAGGAAAAGTACGCGATCGACGCGTTATAAGCCAAAGACGCCAGCGCCCGCGCCCGCCAAGCCGCCGGCGCCGCGCGGCCGCGGCCGCCGGAGCATCTTCAAGCGGCAGCCCGTCAAGGCTCCCACCGCCACGGCAACTGTTGTTACAAGCGATTCAGTATTTTATCAGGTTGTTGCACTTATATTTCCTTCGTCTTGCATATATTGTGACTTTCAATACCCAATCTTCTTGTCGTGTCGACTACAAACCTACACAGTGTCAGCCTAAAACACCACCACAAAAGTGGCATTGTCAGAAGCCTTTATTAAATCTTCCTGCATGCAGTTGTTTGGGCACGCAGTCCACTACATCATGTGCTTTATCCGCTAACTAATTATAAGTTAGACCTACCATTAACCTTGCTATCAATTTCAATATTTTGTTAGTTATTATTTGCCAATATGACAAACCTTTCTTATTGTATCTACTGCTTCCAGGGCTCGTACATGCAAGTAGGAGACATAGTGTCAGTGACAGACCTGGAAGGGGACATATACTATGCACAGATCCGCGGCTTCATGACGGACCAGTACTGCGAGAAGAGCGCCGTGCTGACCTGGCTACTGCCCACCAAGGCCAGCCCGCCGCCTGAGAAGGGATTTGATCCTGCTACTTATATTATTGGTACTGTTAATTGCCTGTAATAAAGATTGACTTGAGATACAAGCAAGCAATTATTATCGTTAACTTAATTTAATGATTGATTTTTTTTATAAATTTACACAAGCAAAATTAAAAGCATATGTAGCAATACAATTCATTATTTTAATTATGCAAAAAAGGTTTGAAATTGAATGAAAAAGTCACAATCATTACATTTTTTTTTTCTTTTATCATATTTATTTTTGTTTGTATTTTAGGACCAGAAGAAGAGCTTGCTCGGAAACTTGATTCAATGGAGTTTGTGATGCACGCACCCTCCGACTACTACAAGGCCAGTAATAGTCCGTACCCACTAATTGACAGTGAAGTCAACCACTACACTGGATATATCTGGACGTCACTCGAGGCCAAAGAGAGAGGGTCGTAGCGATATCATCTGTTTAAGGTTATTTTTGTATTACTTAGTTTTAATGTGTTAAAAATATGACGATAATAATTAAATAAGCTTAAACATAAATAAAAAAGTTTATTATTGATTTTGCATGATCTTGGACAAATTAATAAAATATGGTATTTCTGGGCGGTGTTTCTATTATTTATGGGCGAGGCACATAGCTCGGAGAGAAAGGTTCTCGAGTAGCGACCACGGGCCACGGGCTGGAAGAAGTAGCGTGGGCAGGCCTCCTACTAGGAGTAAAGGTCGCGGGAAGAGCCTGGATGCGGACAGCGCAAAACTGTTAATTGTGGAAAACCTTGGGGGAGGCCTTTGTCCAGCAGTGGACAATGGGATAGGCTACGATTTGGAGATATAACGAAGAATATTGGCTGTATAATAAATATTCCTTCGCTTGGACTTGCAGTAAAAGACAAATGTCAAAATTGAGTTTGACGTTTGGTAGCATCAGTCAAAATTTTCTAAACTCTGCCGGTTTTTGTGAAAATTTGTTTTGCAATTTCGCAATCTTAGTCAAGAAAATGAGCCGCAAAGAAGCATTGTCCTCATTCATCCAGCAAATCCACGGCCGGCCCGTTGTTGTGAAACTCAACAGTGGCGTAGATTATCGAGGTAAACAAATTATTCATTTTCATTGTTATTCCACTTTATTTTGTTGCTAAAGGTTGTAATTAAACAAAAATCTTTGTTTCCAAACGTATACAGTGTGAGTATACTGATTAAATACTCATAATTATCGTCTCAAAAAGGCTTTGAAGTGAAAATTTTAGGTTATGATACCATCCATAAATTAACACTACTTACCTAGATAAAAAGAACTAACAAATAGTTTTGGACATTCTACTTCGTAAATATATTTCCTACGTACTTAAGTCCTAATAATAAGCTCTCATACTGTCTTTCAGGTGTTTTGGCATGCTTGGACGGCTACATGAACATAGCTTTAGAACAAACTGAAGAATATGTGAATGGTCAGCTCAAGAACAAATATGGAGACGCATTCATCCGCGGGAACAACGTGCTCTACATCAGCACTCAGAAGAGAAGGATATGAAACTGGTTGTACTGATACATACTTTTCTAAGTTAGCGTGTAAGGATAAATAAAATAAGTCTCACCCTAATCACTGGTTTTTACTTTATTCTGAAGACCAAAATCCAAATATTTAGTTTAAATGTAAGTTTTCCTTAAAACGAAAGTGGCAATTTAAAAATCTACCAATTACCACATTCGTAATGAGCTGACTGATGCTCTATCTAGTTATTTATGGGTACGTCTCAGAATAAAGTATTTTGAATTTTAGGGACATGTCAGGGAAGTAAACTGACCACAGAAATACCAATATTTAATGTATTATTTATGTTCTCTTACACGGGGTATCAAAAATACACTCTCATCACCTACTGTCTTGTCTGGCTCCAGGGTATGTATAGTAAAACTTCACATCTTCAGTCCTCTGCAAAAAAAAAGAACAATTAATCTGATTATTTTATGATAAACTAGCTGACCCGGCGAACTTTGTTCCGCCTTAATGGCAATAAATAAGCAGACTTTTTTTAAATTTCGAACGGGATAAAAAGTATCCTATGTCCTTCTCCTGGCTCTAAACTACCTCCCTGACAATTTTCAGCTAAATCGGTTCAGCCGTTCTTGAGTTATAAGCGAAGTAACTAACACGACTTTCTTTTATGTATGTAAACTTAAAATGAAAGTACTGGAACACTTATGGTCAGGGTAGAACCAAATTTTGTTGGGGTAAGGCAAATAGAGCACCAAATTGTGCCAAATCTAGTTATTTACTATCATGGCATGCTCCAATATTTTTCATTTATAACTGACTCATCAGGGGTGTTTTTTGTGGAGTTTAGAGAGATGAGGGTTCTTTAATTATAACATTGAATACTATTAACATGACTGAGGTTCCCCACTTATAAAAAAAATATTCCCAATATATTTACGTAATTTTTTAGAGGAATTTACATTTATTTTATGTTTAATTTTACCTTAGCAATCAGTGGAATATCTGCAGGGCCTTTACCATTGCCGAGGTCGGCGATCAGTCTCTCGCCCCGCGCGCCGTAGTTATTCACATAAGCTTCTCTGTTGCCTCTTCCCGCGTCGGGGTCCATCGCAGCATCCACACGGTAATTCAGTATCCTCGGATTAAACAGTGGAGCCCAGAAACTTGAGTATAAAACACCATCACTGCTTGCTAATATCACCAATAATAATCCTATTCTGATAAACATTTTTGGAAATGGCTCAATATACCTAAACTTGTAATTATTTTCGGACGCGCAAATTATGCAACAGGTTTGACATGAATGATCAAAATAAGGAAATATTCAGATGTACGAGGAACACTTGAGGTTACCTACTTAATACAACATACTATAGTTTGTATGTAAACAGTCAGCTTGAATGCTAACATCTGTTCAAGGTAAGGTGATGTTATGACTTAAGGTTCGGTCGACGCATCTCCGTGCTTGCTTATTTTAATTGAGTAAACCAGAGTACCTACCTTACTGGCCTGTATTATTTTTCCCATAAAATATTAATTTATGAACTGGTAAAGGTCGCGGGGGGTGACTGGATGCGGGCGGCGTAGGACCGGTCTTTGTGGAAATCCATGTCCAGCAGTAGACGAAATATTTCGTCAGAATGTTTATTTTGTTCAATATGAAAGAGAAAATACTAAAGAGAGATACGGTTTTTACACTTTAAAAAACCGTATCTCTCTGATACTTTTTGACTTGCGATACTATTGCCCTTAAGCCTTGACATCCACCCGTCTGGACATTGCACATAGGTTGATGCGAAATTATGTAAATGCATTTTGTTCATTACAATAAGGTACGCGGACGCGCGACGACCGTGTATTGCTAGTCGCAAAACTTATACTTCGCAAAAACCATAGAAAAAAACTAAAACCACAGAATAAATAATAGTAGTAGTTACAACACAGATGACTTTGCACTAAGTATTGTAATAACCCTCTTTCTGGCGTAGTCGCGTAATTAAGAAGTAGGTTTAAAATTAAAATAAAAAAATCAATGTAACGTAAAATATTTATTGTAAAAACACCTTATCTGTCAATATTATTACTACAAAAATCACTAGAATATACAATATTGTTCAGTCACCCTATATCTTTGGGTTATTTCACATAGTAGTTACAACATAAAATATTATTGTCACTGTTCATTTCCTAAACCTCTTATTAAAAAATGAAAAATTGTATAAATTAAAATAATATGCAATTAATTAATTAGTTTTACTTGGTGTGATCAACTTTTTAAAACAAAGGCGCTCAAAATTAACGTTTTCATATTACACCCTTAGATTATTACACCAACGTAAACAAAGTTGGGGTTATAAGAAAACATAAATTAGGTACGCAATTGCATAATCTACCTACCCAAAATTAACAACTGTTACTTGCTAATTGTTTTATCAACCCCTAGTGGATTCCCTCAAGAGGCGAGTAGGACTTGTATTGGAAGAGCTCGGGTCCGCCGTATCCGTACAGCAACTTGCCTTTGCCGTTCTCGTCGTAGTACGGATAGCGGTAGTTTGGTCTGCAAAAAACAATTTAGCTTTCATGTTGGTACGTAAATCATTCATCTCCAAGAAAAGTTATATTACGCCTTCATCAGGCAAGATCCTGTATTCCCGTTTTCCCTTAACTGTATGTTAATGTTCCTTACAGGGGGCAATTTTACTGTGCTCGAGTTTACAACTTAGCTCATATCACATCGCCAATGCTGACTCCTAATCGAAAAATCTTAGCAATGTAACAGCAGCGAAAAATTGCGACGTTCTTTAGTACCTAATACGATAAAGTATTATGGCTCGAAGAAAGTTATGCCGGGAAGATGGTTTACCTTTCGAAGTACTGGAAGTTGGGCGCCCGAGGCTGCGGCAGCGCTCCTTCGCTGACCACCAGGGTCGCTGCGGCAAACATCAGCTGCTGGCAATACATTTGTGATTAGCAACTGATCAACTGATGGAGCTGTGGTGGAATTTAGTAGGTAGCTTAGGTAAGTAATTTGTCATTATTGTTATTATGTTTGCTATTTCGCAACTGTTATTATGGGGAAACGCTTATTAATGAGGTACAGTAATTAACATACAATAGGTATGAAATATTATTATGTAGTTTGTTAAACTTTCCATAATTATTTAAAGCAAAATTATTAACTTTGTAACTATTTTGTACTAATTGCCTACATTTCATTCTAGAAAACTGGACCCTCTGCAGTCTTGACGTTGGTGTAACGGTGATGACTACCACTAATATGAAATGTGGTAGCTAACACCTGCTGAGATCCTGCCTACTGTCTACACCACTGCTGCTAACGTCTTTCGGAAAGGTAATAATTATCATAGTTACTACAGGTAGCTACGAGTAGGTACTACTTACGTATCATGGCATAACGTGTATCGAGGTACGAAATTGTAGTAATTTGTTCTTACTACTTTAATATTTGATGTATTACATAATGTACAATGCATTATTATGCCAAATATTTTGTAGTACTAAAATGAGTAATAAGTAAACACTTCATTCACAATAAGACCTACTTACTTCCTGCCTGGCATTACTTTCACCTGGTTTACCTCCAGTGTTGGCTGGTTTTAGCTTGAAATATTTTGTCATTTGTGTTATCAAATTGTTACCTGGCCCCAACCACCCATCCTTTGACCGAGACACACTTTCACAACCACATAGGTAACCACAGGTAACCATTACACAACATAACCCAATTACTAGGAGAAAGTCTCTACACTCACCATTATCAGTAGGTATTTGATGTAGCTTGCCATTGTATTGTTTGTCCTACTGTGCACTATTTGTTGCCAGTTAAGTTCTCGGCACTAACTTGAACCGTTCAGTAGGAACGTGCGTCACGCTTAGAACTGTTACGAGTACTGGTTGGTGGTGGTGGGAGGGTACGCTTGGCCGCTCGCCGAGCTGTCTTGGTCCCCACCAAAACCTGTTACGAACTTTACAAACTTTTCCCGCGGCGTAGGATATCGGCAAATCTAATTTTGCCGAATGTTGTGCGAAGAGATAGGAGCTGTTCCTCATTCAGAAATAGCTAATTATAGCACCTTTTTAGGAAAACAGGCTTAGTTAATTCATATTTTATGATTGACCTAGTTATACCTACCTGCCCAGCAACATTATGATAGCATCTTTGTGGTTGGTAGGTTTAGGTACCTATCTTTCCTTTTTTTATCTTGATGGCTCTGTGATCTGAACTAAAAGCCCCTCTTAAAAAATATAGCACTGGGTTTGAACTATATTTAAAAATAATCTTAAATTCTGACGACTCCCTCTCTGTCCCGTTACGCAATTCCTACAATTTTGTGTAGGAATTTTAGATTCAGATTCTGGTGAAATCTTAAATACTTAGGCGAGTTTTTTTTGGCAATAACTAGCCACATTGAAATATTTTTTCAAAAACTACAGGAGTTGGTAATTTTAGCATAATTTTATCAACATTAGATTATTTTCGTCATCGTCAATAACTGTTACTGAAAAGCTGGAGTCGTGTCTTGACATGCCGTACCTATCTACGTTTATAAGGTGACTCAGCATACTTCATGTCGTCAGTCATTCGCGGGAAAGCACTGCGTGCGGTGTTGTGTGATATTTTTAACTTGCATAGTGACAATAAAAATCAAAGATAATCAGGCCCGCAAACAACAAACGTTTAGATTAAAAGGTGATTAGATTAGTAACATTTTTGCAGTACTAAGTAATTTAACTTACAGCGCTGTGGGTCATACAGGAATTCTATGCTGTGGTTTATTATGCTGTCAGACATGGATTGTTATTGTGGCTAACTTCAGAGCGCTCGCGAAAGTAGCAAAATATGAGGAAAACTTTGAATTAAATCTGTGAATTAATGTTTTCGTGATAAAAAATCTACAATTATCTTTACGATTGGATTAATAAAAGTAAATGAAGTATCAATTTAGTTTTCAATAAAGATAAGTTACAAATAAATGATACCTATTGTTTTTTTTTCTCAGCAACATCGACTACCGGCCATGGACTCAGCTTTAAGAAAACAGCTGAAAGATATAGCGTGGTAAGTCCTACGTAAATCAGATAAAATTATTATTGATAGACACCCAGTAGGTACCTAGATGACGATTGTCTCCATAATCCTTATCTCTAAGGCGAACCCCCAGAGTTAACTGTTAAGGTGACCTATACTCTGTTAAAGACATATTTCTTATCAAGTAAAAGTACCTACTTATGCCTCCAAGTAAGAAATTGTTCTATTGACGTGATATTTGGGGAATCACGCCTACAACATTTGTGTCGAGTCCAACTTCCCCCACCATAGCTTTCAATTAGGCCTCACGCGCACTAGGCAGCCAATCAGGTATATGAACACTCTTGGCTGCCAAGTGTACGGACGGCTAGCGGCTCCCATACACCGTCATTATGTTCGACTGGCTGTCTAGCGCGCTGGGTCGCTTATTGCTCATAGCGTTATTAAAATTTTCTATAGATTGTTACATAGACTTTTTATTTCCAATTAACCACTTGTACCACTTTCTATGAAATCAATTGTTTGAATTTGCATCTTCCAGGTGTAAGGAAGTATGGAAAGAGCCAGTCTGTACCGGCGCCGCGCGCGACTTAGTGCGGGAGTGCGCGTCGCTTCCCACGTCCGAACCTGAACCTGAAGCTGATCTGCTGCAAGTCATTGATAGCAGCCGCCGCTTCCCCATACCCTTCCCTATTGACACCGTCAGGTAATAATAACTGGAGATTTATTGTAAAATATCTGGAAAAGAACAGCATGTAGAAGGCAGTGTGCGACACAGTCCGCGTCCGAACCTGAGGCTGTGGCTGATCTGCTGCAAGTCATCGCCAGCAGCCGCCGCTTCCCCGTGCCCTTCCCTATTGATACCGTCAGGTAACATTAGCTGGAGATAATTTTCATAGGATAGTTGGAAAAGATAGGCATATGCAGTTATGTTGGAAGCTGGAAGAAAATACCCTTTCAAAATAAAAATATATATTGAGGACTTAAAACACTTACACGTACCAAATATAGCTTAGCCTACCATCACTTTGGGACAACAAATGGACTGGTCCTGAAAAGATGTGGCAGAAGAAATTCAAATTCAAAACGTTTATTGCATGTCACATTACAATTTATATGTTGTTGCAAAATAGAAACTCAGTGACCCATGTCATTTTATAGTGCCATTAAGTTGGAAACTGGCAGAAAACGCCATTTATCGTCAGTTTTGAGTGTAAACCTGCTTCTAAGCCGATGATATTTTATGACATTAATTGATACTTTTTTACATAAAGTTTTAAATATAATGCTGGCGAAATGACATCCAACTGTTCTGCCACACCTTTTTGCACAATAATATCGCTCTCCCGATAAAAAAATACTCATGTACCGCTATTTTCTGTTTCAGGCTAGAGAAGCTAAAACGGAAACATCCTGCGGAGCGACTGATCCGCAATATTTCGTCTACATACCCCATTATACACGAACGGGTGGTGTTGCTAATAGCTAATTTTCTGGTTTATAAAAGGTATATTCCTGTTAATTATATCTATTTGTAGTTTAATAAAGGCTCTCTTAAAGGAAAGTAAAATTCCTTTTTTTAGTTAGTTCTCTAGCTAGACAATATTAATAATGTTTTAATTCGTCAATTTTCAGAAAATATGGAAGCAAAATCGAGAAAGAATTGTACAAAAACATGACAATCGCAGAGTTTATTGATAGGATACTAAAGAAACGAGCCGTCACGTTCATCAAGGCCCAAGACCAGTACAAACTGTTAAGCGGACACAAAGGGTAAATAAAATTAAAATTATTATTAACCTGCTTTTCATCATCATCATCATTTCAGCCACAGGACGTCCACTGCTAAACATAGGCCTCCCCCAATGATTTCCATATCGCCCGGTTGGTAGCGGCCTGCATCCGGCGCCTTTCTGCTACCTTTATGAGGTCGTCGATCCACCTTGTGGGTGAACGTCCCACGCTGCGTCTTCCGGTACGTAGCCTCCACTTGAGAACTTTGCTGCCCCATCGGCCGTCAGTTCTGCGTACTATGTGCCCTGCCCATTGCCACTTCAGCTTGCTAATCCGTCGGGCTATGTCAGAAACTTTACTTCTGTTTTTACCTACTTGCATTCTTATTATCTGGCCGTCCACAAAACTGGTTGACAACTATTAGTTATTAAATTTTTAGCGTTAAGAGTCGCATCTCAAACTAATTTGAAAATTATAAATAACTTGAAAAAATTTCCCGCCTTAGGCAAATCGATTTTTCAAGTTATTTATAATTTTCAAATTGGTTGACAACTCTTATAAAAAAAACTCATTTATTTGTGTAAGGGTGGAATCGACCAAACAAGGCTAAATATTAATCTCAGAATAAATCGTCAGTTTTGACATAATTTCCCATACTGAAACTGTAAATGTGGCAGTTATTCTCGGATAGGAGTTTGGTCGAATCAGGCATAAGTAGGCTTTTAAAAAGCACTTTTACACGTCCCAGTATTAACCGTACCACTGCTTCGGGACCATAAATGGGCTTCATTCATTATATCGATATTGTAATCCTTCACTTGATATCCAACATAATGTTTATCAGGGTTGACGGATGGGAATCAGTGGGGACTGACGAAGAGAAGCCTCCGTTACTCTTGAGAGACTGCCTGAGCTACGACGAGATGAAGATCGCAGCGCTGGTGTCTGTGAGCGGACGCACAGTGTGTATTAATGACGGCACCCGCAAGAATGCTGGGGTCGTTCGCGAAGATAATGTTGAGAGCGAGGCTATTATCATTGGTGAGATTTGTATATATTGAATAATTTAAAAAAAAAAAATATTTATTTATTTTATTTAAAACAAGTTAGTTACATAGCATTTATATTAATGATAACTATTGACGGTGTCACAAAAACCAGTTTTGGTTTTACTGTGCACCGCTGATTCGACATCAGACTCAATCATTCAGAGCATATTATAAAGTTAAATATTTGACTGCGCGCGAGTACCACTCCGGCCGATCATTATGATGACGCGGTGCTATCATGTAATAAAAAACATTAGTAATTTGTGTTGCACAAATCTAACACCCGTATTCACAAACCATACTTGCTTAAGTGAAGCAGAAAATCGAACGCACAGCGTTAAATAGAGCTCTGTGATTGGTTCGTGTGTGACCCTGTGCATCCACGCGCACTGTAAGACCTCCTAGTAATGTTTGTGAATAATATGGGCGTAAGTATATCTATAAAAGCGAAAGGTCACCGACTGACTGACTCACTCACTCATCCCGAAGTCTCAGAAACTACAAGTGCTAGAAGTCTCAAATTTTGCATGGGGGTTCCTTTTAAAACGTAAGGTGCTCACTAAGACGGGATTTTGCAAAATTCAACCCTGGGGGTAAAACGGGATTCACGCGTACGAAGTCGCGGGCGGCCGCTAGTTACTAATAATCCCGTTAGCCCTTTATATTACGCTAAATATTTTATTTTATGCTTGTGTCACAAGTGGGCTCACCACAATAGTTGAGTGGCAGCGGGATTCAAACTCGCGTTCCTCGGATTTCGAGTCGGCCAGTCCGACCCCTTCACTGTTCCGCTATCGTGGTTTTTAAAACTGATTTTGGCAGATTTGATAGGCCCAGTGTCCACCAAAGCCGAGCGAAGAAGTGTTTTGTAACCAATCAGATTTCCTGGTTTCCTAAATGGGAAGTAACTGAAATAAGGCTTATTGTGGTGTCTTATGGGTAGTAATCATTTTGTCTTGTAATTCCAGGGGTCATTGGTCCCCGATTTAAGCGAACGAACCGTATGGAGTACGAGGACATGCTTGTGACTGAAGACCAAAACATTCCTGAGAATGGCTACGGGACCGACGCTCCCGATGCT